TTTATCTGTATGTTGTGTAAACATGTATGTCATGGCAGAAACACATTCTGTTTATCAGATACTCATATGTCTTAGTCATTAGGACATTTTATCAAAGAGGCAAGAAAATGAGAAGGAATTTCTATTGAAATTCCATTGCTAAACCTTACAGTAGGTCCTACGTGGTTACTGTGGAGCACACGAACTGCAGGTAGTTAACCACCTGTGCTGCAAAAGCGAGTCAGTACACTAAGTGTGGGAAAACTCGAGTTCATGGCCAGAAGCCAGCCCCTTGGGGTGTGACCCAGAGCAGATATTTAAACCCCTTGAGTCTTAGCTTCTAGTCTGCAAAATGGAGGCAGTACCTGCCTTAATGGGTTGTTTTAAGGAATTACTGAGATAATTTATTTTTAAAAAAACACTGTAAAAACTCTTAACACATCATAGGCATGCATAAAAAGGTGTGGAATATTTTCATTAATAAAATATGTATAATTTTCATTATGACCCATACATATGCATCATCAGGATTTATTTAGATTCTTGTAGGAAATAATATGAAGTATAGAAAGAGGGCTTAAATATAAGCAGTGAGTATCTGGTGGAGACAGCCAGTTAACACAAGATGCCAGAGGCGCAACACGTGCACTTAGTAGCTTAGTGTAGCCTTTTGCAAAGAGTTAAGATGGGGGGGGGGGATCAATTTTAACTCTGCTTACATGTTTTTGGCAAATCTTTGTGTATCTTCCCCTCAATTTTACAAATGCTTATGAAACTTTGAGTTGATTTTCAAACCATCTTAAAGTATCCCCCTGCAATATCTGCTAATGGAGATTTGGTTCTATCTTACAAAATTAAAAAATGGAAGCTTCTCTGCCTTACATTACTCTGACAGGGATTATAAAAAGCAATTTAAAAATAAATACAACAAATTTATCAAGTGGCTTTAAAAAAAAAATGACAGGCACTGCAAATAATCGGGGCTATATTTTGGTACAATCTTGCTTTCCAATTATTACACCACTAGGGAGACATGCCCAGCCAAACCCTGTGAGCAGTTCAAAGTCAGCCACCATTTCCAAGAAGACTCCTGGAAGGCAGGTACCTTCTA